AAAGGAGGTCTAATAATTTCAACCTTGTAAATATATAATAAAACAAGAAAGTTGTAAGAAGTCAGGAGAAAAAATTATATATAAAGCAGAGGAAGAAAAATGTAATTAAAAAAAATAAAATACATAAAAAGTTATTTATAACAGTGATACTTACATAATTTTTTGGCGTAAGTTACTTGCTTCACACTTTATTATTTTAATTTCATATCAATAAATAATTTTAAACACCGTAAATTAAGTATTTATTAATAATTAGAAAAAAATGTTTTTATTTGAAACATATACATATGAAATTATTTTTAATTATAATATATGCTGTTAACCTAGTAATGTATATTAAATTAATAATCGCACGCAAAGTAAAAACTCTTCCACGATTAATGTTTAACAAAACAGTTAAAAGTTACGTGACTAGTTATTTATTGAAAAAAAAAGCCTTAACAACAAGGACAAGGGCCCCCTTATCCCCGGATAAGGAGTGAGCAGGCGAATAAAATTTAGCGAAACAAATATAAGGAAATATAATAAATAAACTACAGTTATAAAAAAAAAAGTGAGAGAAGGATAAAACAAAAAAAGTTAATATGTTATAGAAGTATTAATAATATACAAAAAAAATAGTAATAAAACTTTACTTACAAAGCCCAGTTCTACCAAAACTGAAAATTATAGAATTCACTGCAATAAGAATAAAAAAACATATCCTTGTTTTAATAACAAGTATATATACAAAAAATACCAAACTTGTTTCAATATACATTCTATTGTAATATTATTTTTACTCTACACATATCAATACATATTTATATTATGTAATGTTTGTATACCTTTCAAATATATTAGTTAATATTTGAGTCGGGTATTTACGAGAGTTTATAAGCAAAAGCTTTTTTAATACAATATCCATTATTTATCAAAAAATATATATGTATCAATATATATTATTATTATTTTTCATGTATATTTATTATTTTTATGTACACGAATAACATTAATAAATTATAACAATTCAAATTTTTTAAAATGTTTTCTAATGGACACTTTATTATGATACTATACTAACGCCCGACCTGCATAACCTTACTAATAAATTCCCTGTAGTTATTAATAGGTGTATTATTTGTTTTTAAAACCCTCTCGCAAACAATAAAAAAAAGAGAAAAATTAAATACTTGTTAAAAGAGAAATAGATAAACATATTATTCGGCACGAAAAAAAAAGTGCGCAAGTTTGTGGTACTGGGTCACAATTAATATTTATAAATTTTCAAGAGAGCCATATTTCCTTTAACTATGTAGTAAAACTGTTAACTATATGTAATAAATACATTAAACGTTATAATTAACTATAACGGTATACGCATAATAAAAAGTAAAATATAAAAGTGAAATTAGTTTATAATAATCGAGCAGAGACTATAACTTTTTTAATGAATTCACAAAAGAAACTGCTTTTTTAGTGGTTGATATATTATCCTCCAGCGTTTTAAAAAGCTCAAGCGCTTCAAAGGTCAATCATTTTAACTAAATCACGATTATACGGGCAAACGTTCCTGATCATAATATAGTAATTAGATCAGAATATATAATTATATAAACAAATTAAGCTACCTACAAAAAATACTGCTAAAAATAATCTGTACAAAGATAATAAATCAAAAAATTGGTAAAAAATAATCTAAATAAACTTATATGAAACTGATGTACAGCGTTATCGTCATTATAACTTTTAAAAATACTTATGACTTCTTCCAGTTTGTTTTGAAGAAGGTAAAAACTATTATAGCCAAAAATTATTCGCAAAGTTAACAAGAGAAATTAATAACTCGAGAATAATCTCCCAAGCAGTTGCTAAAAGAGGGCTTTTATAAGTATAACGCCGTGTTGTAAATGCTTGGCTTGAGCGTGATCCCCAAGAGAGGAGCATCCAATTGTCAAATTAATTTTTTTTTTTTAACTATATATTTAATATTACTTTCATTAAGTACATAATTAAGCAAGACAATTGTTAAAAAAAAATTAAATTCTGTAAAACTTAATAAAATTGATTTCAAATGAATCAATTTTATCGAAATAAAAAAAAAAAAAAAAAAGGGGGATACTAGAATCGCTAAATGATTTATAGCTTACAAAATTATTTTTGAATAAAATATTTTTGACTTTACTTGGCCATAAATCACTAAAAGAAAAAATTTTACTCGACCCTAATAACGCTATTGAATAATACCTATAGTAAATAAATCGAATTTTTTTTTCGTAACTCAAAAATAAAAGTTTTAAGGGTACCTTTTATAAAATCAAAAAAGTTCAAACAATAAACAAATCTAAAACAAGAAATCATAAAACACCAGAACTTATATCAAAGTACGTACTCGATATCAATGTATTATATAACTCCGGCGTTAAAAAAACTAACACTTTAAAATCTTTAATTAACTTGAAAAAAATTTTATAGAAACAGGCTTTTCTTTATCCTACCGGCAATGAACAATTCAAAGACTTGAACTTTACTTGGGAAGATGCTCTGTTCATATAACCTTCTAAAAGAAGGTTTTCTTCAGTGATAAGAAATGTCAAGTTATTTATTAAATAAATGTAAATTTGGTTATAAATTTAAAGAAACAAAGGAAATCCGAGGAAATGCCAGAGTATCTTACCTCTGGAAATTTTTCAATATAATGACTTTGTTTGATTAAAAACTGAGATTGTCGTGATGTTACTATGTGTAGTTGAAAAGTTTTTTTTATAAATATTCTTGGTTCTAAAGATTTATATAAGGAAAAACTAAGAACGTTTTGAAGGCATTTGCGTCTAGGAATAGGTATAAAGCGAAAAAGACCTATATAAAATAATTGACCATTTTATACAACCATTGTGATAAGTAAAAGTATACTACTAAGTGAAAGCAAACCCATAAATTATCCAACGTTGCAGACCGAATTATAACAAATTTATTTCTCCTAGCTAGTAATTGTCTAGTAACCCCCACCTTGCGTTTAGTATCGTAACTGGGCTAATAAAGTTAAAAAGTAAATGTTATATACTCCATGGGCTAAATATAATACTTATCTAATTCAAACATTATAAAAGCGTAAACTGGCAATCAAACAAGAGATTTCAAATACTCTTCCAAAGTTTAGTGACCTTCTTAAAAGAACAAAGTTTCGTAAATAGTACACAACATTAGAGAGAAGGGTTGAAATCAAGTTTAATTAAAGTGAGCTTGCCGAAGACACCATTTAAGCTAAAGTTAAATAAAATTAGATCGGTTTATTGAATATTTAGTAGAACCAAATAAAATTTCTCTCAATGAATACAAAAAGCTAAGCGTTTATGAAATCAACAATTTGTAAATAAGTGAAGGAGACCTATAGAGAAATCCAAACTTTTAATATAATTGGTAGTATTCCCATACACATTCTAAAAAAAAATTTTAGGATAATATAATACCTCCGGTTTTCCATACAAATGAATATCGTACCATAATGGCACACAGAAATACTATCACACCCGTTACAAAAACATATTTAAAAACTTAAAATTAATAAAACATGGGCGTTACCTATGTGATAATGACAAATAATAATTTTAATTAAATGAACTGTATACTTTACGACTGTAGTAACTGTACACTTTATGACTGTAGTAGTAAATTAGACTTGAAAAAAAAATAATGAAAACTTTCTATTAACTTTAAAAATCTTGGTCTAAAAAGGGAAAGCTAACTAGTGGTTCGCGGATTCAATTAAAAGAGATTTCCATTTATTATTAAATACATCATGAAACTGGGCTCATACACCCAATTACATTAATATTTGTACTACAATTATATCCAGCAAATATAAAATGCCTTCTTAAAAAACATAAAAACTTTGTATACTTGCTAAGATCAATCTAAATATTTCTATAAAATTTAAAAGTAACAGCTCACCTCACTTTATGATTAGCGCCGTAAATAAAGTTATAATAAACTTGAAAACTTATACTTTGAAAAAGGAAATGAAGTTTTTAATGTGTAGATATAAAATTGTTCGTTGTTCATTGTTTTAATAAACTGAAAAAGTTAACGGAAACTAAATTACTAGTTGCAAATTCTTTTTTTGAAAAAGTTAACTTGTAGTTAATATTCTTTTTGGAAGTTAGAAAGACTAGCCAATTTTATCTATTGAATTTACTATGATTACTTCTTTCGAGATAAACCACTTTATAAAACTATAAACATTACTAAGCAATTTTTTGGACTTTAATAAGTTAAACTTTATTAAATTTTGATACTTCGTCACCAACGTTTAACTTTTCAGCCTCCGTACCATTTTTTTTAGTGATCCAAGGGTGTATTATGGCCACTACTATTATAAATTAAAATATTAAATTTAAAATTATTAGCAATAAAAATATTTGTAATTACAATTTTACTTTATTTAGTAAGTAGGCATTTTATTTATAATAAGCTTAAAAATAAACTTTCAGAAACGTTAAGTTATGACAGTCACAACTTTTTTTTGGTTACCGAAGCAAACAGGTTATAGATGTAAATAGTTAATATAATAATAAAAAAAGAAATTAGAATGTGAATAACTAAATGGGTTATTAAGTGTTATTGGAAGAGTTTGACAGAAGTACGTATTTTCTAACGTGCTCTCTTAAGTTAAAGAAAAATAATAAGTTGGCCCATATTTATGTTGACTGTAAAATAAAAAGATTCATATATGGTACCTCTACAACAATGATAAGTTTAAAAATATTCAGTTCATATTTATTATTAGCATAAGATACGTTTGAAATAAGTAATTTAGTAAGACTACAATTATAGCGCTTAAAAAACAGTATACGACCAATTTTTGGTATTGAATACTCTCAAACGTGAAAAAAAATATTAAAAATAGATAAATTATTATTTTTAAAATTAAAATGTGCAATTTATTAATCAGAGAGTAGTCTTATTAAGAGTAATTATATTGAACTGCGATACATAATTAGCTTATTTTTAATTAAACTTACGGAGAAGTGGAATTTGAAAATTCTTCTCTCTCAGCATCACCCGGAATTACGCTAACCTGTTTGCTGTAAGCATTAAGCAATAAGTTATCGTTAGTAAATGCCTAAGTAATAAGGTTTATTCATCAACGATATATAAGTAAGGTTAAAAATTCACAGCACCTTACCGCTTTATTATCTATAACAAACTGTTATATCAATATATATAAAAAGCTTTTTATTCAACTTTAACACTTGCTTAACATATTACTTCGCGATGAGTTAAGATAAAGTGATACTTAATTACGTAAGGTTCATTAGTCTCTCTCTCTCAGCAACATCCAGAATTACACTATGTTTGCAGTAAACGTTAAACATTAGGTTTAATAAAATATTCGCGGGGGTTTATTATAATTAATATTTATACTTTAAAATTCACTTTTAGTTGTTTTAAATTAAGTTAATTAGTAAGTTACTACGGCTTTAAATTGGTAGAGTCCTTTTCCACTCCTTGCTCCACGGAAAGCTTTAGGTCTAAGGCGCCCTTCCTTCATATATTTTTACAAATTTTTTCCAGAAAATAAATTTATTAATAAACAAGTTAAAATTGAAAAATGGATAGCTAAAGTTTAATTTAACAATCTAGATATTGTTATCAAAAGTCTAAATTAATAAAATTTAATTTTCTATACCATACTGTTACAAAAATATATATAAGTGCTTTTATAGCAATTTTAACACTTGCTTAACATATTACTTCGAAATGAGTTAAGATAAAGTGATATTTACGTCGCATTCTCATTAAAAGAGTTATAGGTAGGGGCCCCTTCCGCTTTAAAGACAATTGCAAATGCAAGAAGAGTTAGAAGAAAAGCAATCATTGTAGGCACAACAAAGTGGAATGCCCCGAAAGCTCCCTTATATACCTGTTGTCTGCTATTTTATGCGATTATTTTTTCCTAAATGTTATTCTTTTTACTTTGGGCATCATTAATAAATCAGTGTTAACTAATCCTTTTTTTTAATATTTTTTTTTTCAATTTTATTTTTTTCTATTTATTGTCATTTTCTTCTAAGTATTTAATTTTCTATTGAACAATAAAAAGTTATATTGATGTTAATAGTATTATTAACTTGAAAAATTTTTTTAATCTCATTAATTTCTTAATTTTTAAATTTATTTTTCCATTCGCTAAGCAATTTTTTTAATAAACCATCTAATAAGAATTGTGTTGAGAATTTATGACAGTTACTAATTATAGTTCTTAGGGAACATTGTTTACATAAGCTCCAGCCTAAAACATAGTTGTGATAAAAGAGAAAAAATACCCCAAAGTCAAAATCTACTTATTCTCATGTCGGTTTTAAACTTAAATTTTACAGTTTTAAGTAGTAAAAAGACACCCAAAGTTATTTTTCCATAAATGTTTGAAACTTATTGAGATTTTTCAAAATTCCCAGAGGATTGGTTGTAATTTTACAGCTACAGCTAGAAAGATCTCAGTTTTTTTAATGTAATTTACTTTTTCCACTTTATTAAAAATTATAAAAAGGACCCCTTCTGACTTAAGTCGAGGCGAAATTTTTAGCACACTCTCGTATGTACAAGATTTGTATGTTTATGAAATAATCATTTAAACTGTAAATTTTACGTCGAGTCTTTTAACCTCCACTGATAATGGGCCATCATATTCACTTTTTGATTAATTAACAATTTTAATCCTAGTTCTACAGGGGGGGCCAATAATTTCTCAGCCTAGTCTTCTTTGAAATCAAATAAAAGTTATTTTTCCATGTATTCATGATATTAATACTAAGTTATTTTTCACACTATTTGCATTTGCATGGCATTCAGATAGTCATTAAAATTAATATTACAGGTTGCGTTATGGATCCCGTAACATTAGATCGTAATTGGCCATAGTTATTGCTTATTTTGGACTACGGAATGCTTTTATTAAACAGTAGTTAGTAAGTGTAATGCATTGAAAAGGAAACGTTCCTGTCTTAAATCAAAAAAGAGTATTAATAAATTTAAAAAATATAATATTATATATTATATATTGTTGGACAAAAATTAATGATTTCCAAAAAAAAAAAAAAATTAAGTAATCAAAAGAACGCAAGAAGGTCGGTAACACTCAAGTATGGAGAGTAAACAAAACCTAAACTCTCGTCTAACCCCTTCATTCATTTTCGTGCGTGTCATTAAAGCAGTGGGCAATTGTAAAGATGTGTGGAGTATGACGGGGTAATAAAATTAGTAATAAATTTGCTTGTTCTTAACTTTGAATAAGACAACCGCTTATGTTAAAGTTCATGACTTTAAAAAAATATGTGACTTGACTTTAGGATGCGACGCAGAGCCTAGGAAGGCCTATAATATTATTGGTGGTTCAAGACTGTTCATTTATTTGAATATCACAGCCCCGACGGTGTCTTAACGTGTGGGCTGTTACAAATTTCCTCTTGAGCTTAATAAAATTATTATAATATTTTAACCTAAAAAAAATTTACTGTATACCATCCAATCCTTTTTTAAACTTCAAGCTTTTGGTTCAAAGCCGAAAAAAGCAGAAGAGAAATAAAAACACGATTTTTTGTTACTCTATAAAATAAGAATTTTATACATAAAGAAAAATCACTAGACCAAAATTTTGTACTACGAAGAGGTTTGGATTGTCGAAAGTGTCAATTTACTGAAATCCTGTCCTACTAATTACTCTTACAAAACTTTTTACTAGAAAAATATAAATAAGATTACGTTAAATAGTCCACTTATATTTTTAAGTGTAGAAGAACACACAAAAATTGATTTGCGTGAAAAGTAATGTGCTTCAGAAAGATGGATTTAGAAAATTTTAAAATGAAAAACTCTACTAAAAATTCCCTAAGGAAAGTCGAACAGGTTTAATAACGTTTATGTCTAATCCAGAGATGAAGGATACAGTACTTGAACTATCACTTGTAAGAAGTTCTGGTAAAAAATTTAGTGAACCCAAATCTGCCAGTCTACTTACACTAGTTTAAAAAATAACAACTTGAAAAATTTTTTGATAAAATAAATAGCAATAACCTACAAAAGCAGAATCCTTAATGACTACTTTCATGTAAAAATTTAGGTGGGAATTTATAGAAGTAAATAAACAGTTTGTTTTCTGTTTCATTTAATAATTAATCCGAAAGCTGGGTAAATATGTTTAACTAGATTTTTCAACTTCCTTTATGTGAGTAGCAAAAAATATATATATTAGTAAACATTCTCAAGAGCATTTTTTTTTAAAAAAAGGACTACCCAACTTATAGTAGTACAGAAAGTTTTTTACTCCCCACTGGGACAACTAGCATATTAAATGACAAGGTTTATGTAATGTCATCTATAAGTAATAGAGTGTAGAATTGGTCAGTCACTAACAAAATTAGTTCTTTGATGATAAAAAGGTGTGTTAAGGTTACAAAAAAAATATTTAACCAAAAAAATATATAAAAGTATAAGTAACAATAGTATTTATAAATTCAACAAAGTAATATTAAATTTAAGAGTAAGATATTATCCAAAATTAAAAAGAAGGGACGTGCTAACCTACAAAGAATATAACAAGTATCGACAAGCTCTTTGCTAATTGGAGACTGAATTAAAACGTATATAATGAATTATGCACCCTAACTATAAACCTGTATACAGAAGTGACTGAGTCAGCGAACCTACAGGGTGTGGAATAATTCATTGGTGGAGATAAAAAAAAATTATCTAGTATAATAAGTTTAAATGCAAACAGCAAGTTTAAGGTTTGAGGGAAAGTTATAAAGCGGTGAAATACATGAAATATTACAAGTGGAAAAAAATTTGGGAAAAATCTGGCAAGAAACTTTTCAAGATCTCTTATAGAGTGTAAATATATTTATTAACGCCTTACAGCTTTAGCCTTAAAGACCCAGCATGATATTTAAACTTTATGACCCCTACAGCCCTATAGTCTAGGGGTCTCCAAAACTATGCATAAACCGAGCTGATCATTATTAATACAGGTATTTAATTGGGCAGGAACATAATTATTTTCCCAGAAAAAATAACACTGAGTTTAAGAAGACTTTTGAGAAAGCTGGTACCCAAAAAGCGCCGGTATTGGTCTATTCTGCGTACTGAAAAGTGGATCATCTCGGCATAGAGAAGAACTAACTTTGGAGCTGGAGCTCCGTGAAAGAGTAAGTGCAGGCCCCTTGCAAGATCTTGAATTAATAGCGCTATTCATAGCCCATATTTAATTACAAGTTTTCTAGATCGTACTTGTTATCTTGAACGTACAATAGTGATGATTTTTAGTGACTTCTGAGATGAGAGTTTCGAAAATGTTCAGGTCGTTGAAAAATGTTTACTAGGGAAAAGAATAGGGATGTATCAATATGTATTAGTTTCAGTGAACCTGCTTTACCATGTTAAAAGCTTTAAAATCATGACAAAATTATCTTGCTGAACCAATGCTTGGAATGTTTCTCTTCACAATGTTATAGGTGATTCATTTCCCCTGTGAATATTGCAAGCAATTATGAAAATAACAACCCAATTACAACTAATTTACATGACAAAAGCATGAAGGTTACCATATATGGAACTGAAACGTAATAATTGCACATGGATCGAATGCTAATAATAAAAGCAAGGTCTTGGTATCCAGGTGCATCTGCACCTATTAAAAACTACCTACCACTCGGCGGTATTAAAAAAAAGATATTACTGGCTACTAAAACTTTTACGCAAAGTATAGGTTATGTTTCAGGTTAAGCCCAAAAAATTGGGACAGGGGGTCGGAAACTCTTGTTCTTTAGGAGCATGTTGTCTTAATGCGTATATAGAAAAGCAACAAAAATATCCTTACTCCGCTAATGTAATTATTTGGAAAATAGTATAATGTTGTCATTGACTCTTTCTGGTACTGCGCTTTCACAGCTACGCACGCCTGCCGCGGGCTACCATATGAGCCTCTTCTGACCCCATGGATCGTCGCGCTATACGTAAATGATAGCCCAACCCCTGCGAACTTACACATGCGCATCGCACTTTAGACCGTTAACACAGTAACCCATGTAGTCGTCAAAAAAGCCCCGAGTTACTAAATTATCGTTAACGGAGACATTTAAAACACTTGCTAGCTTTTGCCAAATAAAAAGGCATAAAACCGGTGTAGACAGATGCGCTTTTCCTCTCATTTTGGCGAACTCGCTATATCCATCTCTATCTCCAGATTATGACGACGCCTAGAAATACTCCAGTGGGGCCGTCAACAACATCAAAGTATCTAGGCCACAAACATGGCGCTAATGTAGAAACGATTGTCAAGACATCAATAGAATTTTTATCCGATATTGTGGGTGAAGAGCATGAAATTGTCAAATAAAAGGTGCTTACAGATAATGCGTGTATGCCCCACCATGTCCTACGCTTCACCTGTTTGCGGGTTCGATGTGGAGTTTACTGGGTAGCACTACGGATAAATTAAAACAATCTGCTGACGGTGCGTAGTATTTTTTGCGCAACAACTCTCTTCATGACAAACGAGTAGCTCGTTTTTAAATTATCAGTGGGCCCAAGAATTTTTATACACGTTCCTGAGAGGCGGACGTTATTAGAGCAACTTTTTCCTCTTTTTTTTCACTTTGTTTAGTTACCATAAGTATCGGAATTAAATTATAAACCACTCTACCAAATAAAAACACGTTCATCTATTTTTAAATAGCGTTATTTTATAAATAATGTGAGCCCATTTCATGAGCCAGGACTGGCTTTCTTAATGTTTGATATTCATGGTGAGCGTGTGAACAGCTGTCTAGTTTTAATAAAACTTTTGTTTTTACATCCTTTTTAATCACTAAGGTTT